AAATGACGAGAACGGAACCTAGCCTTAACTTTTCAAGCACAACCATTATTCTCATTTGTGAATTTTGAGCTTAAACAAATTGAATGGGTTTCAATACACCGGATGCAAATTTCTTATTGGAACCCTAATGATACACACTCTATATTAGAAAAACAAAAAAAATCGGAATTTTAGAAGATTATTGTTTCAATAACAGTGTAAATACATACTATTTCCTAAGACGGAAGAAAAAATAAAAAAAAACAATCAAAAAATTTGTTTGACCCGGACGTGATTTGAACACGCAACCTGCAAAGCTGGAGTCCGACGCGCTACCGTTGCGCCACCGAGTCACACGGCCTTTTTCGTTGTAGAAAAAGTATACTATGCAAAGTAGTATTAAAAATGGAAATTTTACGCAAGAAAAAATATCTTAAAGTGTGAAACTTTGTGAGAATAGTCTGTTCAAGGTGTAAGATGTAAAAGCCATAAAATTATTATCTTAATTCGCGAAATGTAAGAAATGTTGGAGGATGAAATACCCAGACAAAACTTGCTTCGTCGTGTAAATGTGGACTAATTTATTAAAACGGTCCCTTAATACTTACAGTGGAATAAAAAACAAATACACATGAATGCCAACAAGTTCTACCAATATGAGTATCTAAATTTTAAATTTATTTCCCGGACTGTCTAATTCAAGGAGCAAACTGTAAAAGTCAATATGGAGCCATTTATTTACATGGCTTTCAGTGATATTTTTGGAAAAGGTTTGTTGTAAACTGCCTAATTTCTCAAGTCTAAACTTGTCTCGTCTTGAGTGAGTGAGTGAATGTTTGGTTCTATGGCGCAAGAGCCAAATTTGGCTATACTGCGTAACACGTTACATGTCTCGTCTTATCCATCGTCCCACAAATGATTGTTTCTATTGATGCTCTGCCCACACGTTGAAAGCCACATGCAGAAAAGTTTTCTTATGCTCTTACACAGTGACGGACTAAGCAAACGAAGGTCTAAGGGGGAATTCTTAAAAAAAATATTAGAAATTTGCATTACACTGCTGTTGGATTTTTGTCGCTTAATACTTGTTGCATTCTTGCATGGATACTGTCAACTTCAGGGACATACGAAAAGCACATCATTTAATTCTTGATATTTTCTACAACAGTCCTGTGCAAGATTTAAGAATATAACAAAGCAAACCACTTCACATTCGGACGTGGTGGAATCAGACCATTTGCCCATTTAGATTCAAAGGCGGTAATATAGAGCCTAGGCGATGCGAAATATGTCACATTCTGAACAACTTCGTTCATTACGTTAAGGCAACTGAATAATTACTAAAGTAAAGGGAAAAAATCCGGTTCACCGCGCATCAACTCACACCTGATCAAAAAAACAATCACCACTACACTGACCCGGACGTGATTCGAACACGCAACCTTCTGATCTGGAACCAGACGCGCTACCGTTGCGCCACCGAGCCACGATAACGGGTAAATTTCTGGTTATTTAATTGACATGATCAGGAATGACATTTAAAATATCTACAGTACTTTAGCATTACGTTAAATTCGTATATTAAAACTTACGTATATTTATCGTCGTGCACTTCATACGTAGAGAGCAAAGTAAGTATAGTTGAAATGGTTTCTAACAGTTTTGAAAACTGCGTCATACACATCTGGATGAGGGCGCCCTACATTAGTGGCACTAGTACAAAGCCTTTCTTCTCCCTTTTTGATTTAAAATTTTACATGGAATTCGAGTCCTAGAAACTACGAAATTGCCAAGATTATTTTCCTAAGTAATGTTTTGCACAAATTCCTTTTCTAAAGGAGAGCAAATATAACGTGCACACATATTGAACCGGACGTGATTCGAACACGCAACCTTCTGATCTGGAGTCAGACGCTCTGCCGTTGCGCCACAGAGTCATGTCTGCTTCCGACAATCTGCGATTTCCTGCGATATTTTTAAGAGACAAAATTGAAAGGTAATTAAACAATCACCAGTTCTTTTTACCGCCATTGTACCTTTTAAAATTGCAGGCCAAGTAGAAAATTAGTAAATTAATCGCACCTGTTTTTCACACACTTCCTGTTCTGAAATGTAAGGATTGATATTTTTAGAAGGACTCAATCAACACATTGTTGCTGGAGATGGAAATCTTGAATTTGGTTTTCTGACAAATGACGAGGACGGAACCTAGCCTTAACTTTTCAATTATAACCATTATTCTCATTTGTAAATTTTGAGCTTAAACAAATTGAATGGGTTTCCATACACCGGATGCCAATTTCTTATTGGAACCCTAATGAAACGCAGTCTATTGTAGAAAAAAAAATCGGAATTTTAGTTGATTGTTTCATCAACAGTGTAAATACATACTATTTCCTAAGACGGAAGAAAAAAAACAATCAAAAAATTTGTTTGTCCCGGACGTGATTTGAACACGCAACCTTCTAATCTGGAGTCAGACGCGCTACAGTTGCGCCACCGAGCCACAATACCAGGTTAAATTTCTGAATATTTAATTGACATGATCAGGAATGACATTTATAAAATATGCACAGTACTTTGGCATTACGTTAAATTCGAATATTAAAACTTACGTATATTCATCATCGTGCACTTCATACGTAGAGAGCAAAGTAAGTATATTTGCAATTTTATCTTACAGTATTGAAAACTCTCTCTCTGTGTGTGCGTCATATACATCTGGATGAAGGCGCCCTACATTGTTGGCACTAGTACAAAGCCTTTCTCCTCCTTTTTAATTTCAATTTTTACATGGAATTCGTGTCCCAGAAACTATTAAATTGTCAAGTTATTTTCCTACCTAATGTTTTGCACAAATTCGAGTACCAGAAACTACGAAATTGCCAAGGGTGGATTGACATGTTATTTTCCTAAGTAATGTTTTGCCAAATTCCTTTTCTAAAGCAGAGCAAAAGAAACGTGCACACATTGACCCGGTCGTGATTCGAAAACGCAACTTCAATACACCGGATGCAAATTTCTTATTGGAACCCTAATGATACGCACTCTATATTACATAAAAAAAATCGGAATTTTAGTAGATTATTGTTTGATTAATAGTGTAAATCCATACTCTTTCTTAAGACGGAAAAAAAAACAATCAAAAAATTTGTTTGACCCGGACGTGATTTGAACACGCAACCTTCTGATCTGGAGTCATACGCGCTACCGTTGCGCCACCGAGTCACACGCCCTGGTTCGTGGTAGAAACAGTATACTATGCAAAGTAGTTTTAAAAATGGAAATTTTACGCAAGAAAAAATATCTTAAAGTGTGAAACTTTGTGACAATAGTTTGTTCAAGGTGTAAGAAGTAAAAGCCATAAAAATATTATCTTAATTCCCGAAATGTAAGAAATGTTGGAGGATGAAATAACCAGACAAAACTTGCTTCGTCGTGTAAATGTGGACTAATTTAATTAAACGTTTTCTAAATGCTTACAACAGAATAAAAAACAAATACACATGAATGCCAATAAGTTCTACCAATATGAGTATCTAAATTTTAAGTTTATTTCCCGGACTGTCTAATTCAAGGAAAAAAGGAATTCTTAAAAAAAATATTAGAAATATGCATTACACTGCTGTTGGATTTTTGTCGCGTAATACTTGTTGCATTCTTGCATGGATACTGTCATCTTCAGGGACATACGAAAAGCACATAATTTAATTCTTGATATTTTCTACAACAGTCCTGTGCAAGATTTAAGAATATAACAAAGCAAACCACTTCACATTCGGACGTGGTGGAATCAGACCATTTGCCCATTTAGATTCAAAGGCGGTAATATAGAGCCTTGGCGATGCGAAATATGTCACATTCTGAGAAAATACGTTCGTTACGTTAAGGCAACTGAATAATTACTAAAGCAAAGGGAAATAATCCGGTTCACCGCGCATCAACTCACACCTGAATAAAAAAGCAATCACCACTCCACTGACCCGGACGAGATTCGAACACGCAACCTTCTGATCTGCAGTCAGACGCGCTACCGTTGCGCCACCGAGACACGATAACGGTTTAATTTCTGAATATTTAATTGACATGATCAGGAATGACATTTAAAATATCTACAGTACTTTGGCATTAAGTAAAATTCGAATATTAAAACTTACATATATTTATCGTCGTGCACTTCATACGTAGAGAGCAAAGTAAGTATACTTGCAAAGGTTTTTAACAGTATTGAAAACTGAGAGAGAGAGAGTCATATACATCCAGATAAGGGCGCCCTACATTGGTGTCAATAGTACAAAGCCTTTCTTCTCCTTTTTTGATTTCAATTTTTACATGGAATTCGAGTACCAGAAACTACGAAATTGCCAAGGGTGGATTGACATGTTATTTTCCTAAGTAATGTTTTGCCAAATTCCTTTTCTAAAGCAGAGCAAAAGTAACGTGCACACATTGACCCGGACGTGATTCGAACACGCAACTTTCTGATCTGGAGTCAGACGCGCTATCGTTGCGCCACCGAGTCATGTCTGCTTCCGACATTCTGCGATTCCCTGCGATATTCTTATGAGACATAGTTGAAAGGTAATTAAACAATTACCAGTTTTTTTACCGCCATTGTACCTTTTAAAAGTGCAGGCCAAGTAGAAAATTAGTAAATGAATCGCACCTGTTTTTCACACACTTCCTGTTCTGAAATGTAAGGATTGATATTTTTAGACGCACTCAATCAACACATTGCTGCTGGAGATGAAACTCTTGAATTTGGTTTTCTGACAAATGACGAGGACGGAACCTAGCCTTAACTTCTCAATCATTACAATTATTCTCATTTCAGAATTTTGAGCTTAATCAAATTCAATGGTTTCAATACACCGGATGCAAATTTCTTATTGTAACCCTAATGATACGCACTCTATAGTAGATAAAAAAAAACGGAATTTTAGAAGATTATTGTTTGATTAATAGTGTAAAACCATACTCTTTCTTAAGACGGAAGAAAAAAAACAATCAAAAAATTAGTTTGATCCGGACGCGATTTGAACACGCAACCTTCTGATCTGGAGTCAGACGCGCTACCGTTGCGCCGCCGAGTCACACGCCCTGGTTCGTTGTAGAAATAGTATACTATGCAAAATAGTATTAAAAATGGAAATTTTACGCAAGAAAAAATATCTTAAAGTGTGAAACTTTGTGAGAATAGTTTGTTCAAGGTGTAAGAAGTAAAAGCCATAAAATATTATCTTAATTCGCGAAATGTAAGAAATGTTGGAGGATGAAATAACCAGACAAAACTTGCTTCGTCGTGTAAATGTGGACTAATTTATTAAAACGTTCCCTTAATACATACAATGGAATAAAAAACAAATACACATGAATGCTAACAAGTTCTACCAATATGAGTATCTAAATTTTAAATTTATTTCCCGGACTGTCTAATTCAAGGAGCGAACTGTAAAAGTCAATATGGAGCCATTTATTTACATGGCTTTCATGGATATTTTCGGAAAAGGTTTGTAATAAACTGCCTAATTGCTCAAGTCTAAACTTGTCTCGTCTTAAGTGAGTGAGTGAATTTTTGGTTCTATGGCGCAAGAGCCAAATTTGGCTATACAGCGCCACACGTTACATGTCTCGTCTTATCCATCGTCCCACAAATGATTGTTTCTATTGATGCTCTGCCCACACGTTGAAAGCCACATGCAGAAAAGTTTTCTTATGCTCTTACACAGTGACGGACTAAGCAAACGTAGGTCGATGAGGGAATTCTTAAAAAAACATATTAGAAATATGCATTACACTGCTGTTGGATTTTTGTTTCGTAATACTTGTTGCATTCTTGCATGGATACTGTCATCTCAGGGACATACAAAAAGCACATCATTCATTTCAATTTTACATGGAATTCGAGTCCCAGAAACTACAAAACCTGATTGACAATTTTCTAAGTAATGTTTTGCACAAATTCCTTTTCTAAAGCAGACAAAAGTAACGTGCACACATTGACCCGGTCGTGATTCGAAAACGCAACTTTCTGATCTGGAGTCAGACGCGCTACCGTTGCGCCACCGAGTCATGTGTGCTTCCGACATTCTGCGATTCCCTGCGATATTCTTAAGAGACATAATTGAAAGGTAATTAAACAATTACCAGTTATTTTACCGCCATTGTACCTTTTAAAAGTGCAGGCCAAGTAGAAAATTAGTAAATGAATCGCACCTGTTTTTCACACACTTCCTGTTCTGAAATGTAAGGATTGATATTTTTAGAAGCACTCAATCAACACATTGCTGCTGGAGATGAAACTCTTGAATTTGGTTTTCTGACAAATGACGAGAACGGAACCTAGCCTTAACTTCTCAATCATTACCATTATTCTCATTTCAGAATTTTGAGCTTAAACAAATTCAATGGGTTTCTCAATACACCGGATGCAAATTTCTTATTGGAACCCTAATGATACGCACTCTATATTAAATAAACAAAAAAATCGGAATTTTAGAAGATTATTGTTTGATTAATAGGTAAATCCATACTCTTTCTTAAGACGAAAAAAAAAACAATCAAAAAATTGTTTGACACGGACGTGATTTGAACACGCAACCTTCTGATCTGGAGTCAGACGCGCTACCGTTGCGCCACCGAGTCACACGGCCTGGTTCGTTGTAGAAATAGTCATACTATGCAAGTAGTATTAAAAAATGGAAATTTTACGCAAGAAAAAAATATCTTAAAGTGTGAAACTTTGTGAGAATAGTTTGTTCAAGGTGTAAGACGTAAAAGCCATAAAAATATTATCTTAATTCGCGAAATGTAAGAAATGTTGGAGGATGAAATAACCAGACAAAACTTGCTTCGTCGTGTAAATGTGGACTAATTTATTAAAACATTCCCTTAATACTTACAATGGAACAAAAAACAAATACACATGAATGCCGACAAGTTCTACCAATATGAGTATCTAAATTTTAAATTTATTTCCCGGACTGTCTAATTCAAGGAGCGAACTGTAAAAGTCAATATGGAGCCATTTATTTACATGACTTTCAGGGATATTTTCGGAAAAGGTTTGTTGTAAACTGCCTAATTTCTCAAGTCTAAACTTGTCTCGTCTTGAGTGAGTATGAATATTTTGTTCTATGGCGCAAGAGCCATTTGGCTATACTGCGCAACACGTTACATGTCTCGTCTTATCCATCGTCCCACAAATGATTTTTGTATTGATGCTCTGCCCACACGTTGAAAACCACATGCGAAAAATTTTCTTATGCTCTTACACAGTGACGGACTAAGCAAACGTAGGTCGAAGGGGAATTCTTAAAAAAATATTCGAAATGGCCATTACACTGCTGTTGGATTTTTGTCGCGTAATACTTGTTGCATTCTTGCATGGATACTGTCATCTTCAGGGACATACGAAAAGCACATCATTTAATTCTTGATATTTTCTACAACAGTCCTGTGCAAGACTTAAGAAGAATATAACAAAGCAAACCACTTCACATTCGGACGTGGTGGAATCAGACCATTTGCCCATTTATATTCAAGGCGGTAATATAGAGTCTTGGCGATGCGAAATATGTCACATTCTGAAAAATACGTTCATTACGTTAAGGCAACTGAATAATTACTAAAGTAAAGGGAAAAAATCCGGTTCACCGCGCATCAACTCACACCTGATTAAAAGCAATCACAACTACAATGACCCGGACGTGATTCGAACACGCAACCTTCTGATCTGTGACGCTACCGTTGCGCCACCGAATCACGATAACGGGTTAATTTCTGAATATTTAATTGACATGATCAGGAATGACATTTAAAATATGTACAATACTTTGCATTAAGTAAAAATTCGAATATTACAAATAGTATATTTACGTCGTGCACTTCATATGTAGTGCAATGTAAAGTATACTTGCAAAGGTTTTGACAGTACTGAAAAACTATCTTAGATCTGGACGAGGATGAAACATTTTTGCCACTAGTACAAAGCCTTTTTCTCCTTTTTTTTGATTTTTCAATTGTTACATGGAATTCGAGTCCCAGAATCTACAAAATTGCCATTGACAAGTTGTTTTCCTAAGCAATGTTTTGCACAAATTCCTTTTCTAAAGCAGAGCAAATAACGTCACACATTGACCGGGACGTGATTCGAACACGCAACCTTCTGATCTGGAGTCAACGCGCTACCGTTGCGCCACCAGTCACAAAACTTGCGTAGTATTCGAAAAATAATTCAGTCCTTTTAAATGTCTTTTAAAGGTGACAAGTAGAAAATTAGTAAAAAAATCTTAATTCGCGAAATGTAAATGTTGGAGGGGGAAATCAGACAAAAACTTGATTCCGTGTTGGACTAAATGTAAAAGGATTAATAAAGAACAAATACACATGAATGCCAACAAGTTCTACCAATATGAGTATCTAAATTTGAATTTATTTCCGGACTGTCTAATTCAAACGGAACCTAACTGTAAAAGTCAATATGGAGCCATTTATTTACATGGCTTTCAGGGATATTTTGAGCTGTAAACAAATTTTGTTTAAACTTGTCTCGTCGGATGCAAATTCTGCGAACCCAAATGATACGCACACGTATATTAGATAAACAAAAACGTCTCGTCTTGAGATTACGTTGATTAATAGTGTAAAATCTTATACTCTTTCTATGACGGAAAAACAATCAAAAAATTTAAACCCGCTATTAGAAATTTGCATTACACTGCTGTCTGGAGTTTTGTCGCGTAATACTTGTTGCATTAGTTGCATGGATACTGTTAGTTCATTGTAGAAATAGATGCAAAGTAGTATTCTATTGAAATTTTACGCAAGAAAAATAGCTTAAAGATTGAAACATTTGAGAATAGTCTGTTCAAGGTTGGCATAAAGCAAAAAATATTATTTAAACTCGGCTCATGTAAGAAATTTTGGAGGATGAAATAACCAGACAAAACGTTTCTCTCTTGTAAATGGACTAACTTTAAAAAACGGTCCCTTAATACTTACAATGGAACAAAAAACAACTACAATGAATGAAGACAAGTTCAACCAATATGGTATCTAAATTTTAAATTGTTTTTATCGCTACTGTCTAATTCAAGGACTTTATGATTGAATTAAAGGCCAACATCATTTAATTCTTCATATTTTCTACACATAAATTTCACTGCTAGTTTTGCAAAATTTAAAATTAACAAAAGTCAAACTGTCCGTCTTCAGGGACAGTGAGTGAATATTTGGTTCTTGATATTTTCACAAGAGCCTGTGCAATTTAAGAATATCAACACATTCGGACGTGGTGGAATCTTATCCATCGTCCCACAAATAGATTCAAAGGCGGTAATTGAAAGCAAAATGCAGAAAAGTATGTCACATTCTGAGTGAAAATTCGTTCATTACGTTAAGGCAACTGAATAATTACTAAAGTAAAGAGGAAAAAATCCGGTTACCGCGAAATATCACACTGCTGTTGGATTTTGTCGGACGTGAATACTTGTTGCATTCTTGCATGGATTAATCGCGCATACCGTTGCACATCATTTAAGTCACGAATACAACAGTCCTCGGATTTAAGAATATCAGGGAATGACATTTAAACCATATGTACAGTACGTGGTGGAATCAGCTACCGTTGTAAAATTCGAAGGGTACGATAGACGCGTATAAATTATTCGTCGTTCATTACGTTAAATTGCAAATGTATGCAGGAATGACATTGAAAATATGTACATACCTAAATCTGGATTGGCAATTAAGTACAAATTCTTCTCCTTTTGAGTCAATTTTTACGAACGAATTCGTTTCTGTATTTAATTTATCAGGAATGAGGATTTAAAAGTTGTTTTCTAATGTGTTTCAAAATTATATTAAAAACTTACGCGGTATAACGTATAGGTACTTCGGATATGTAGAGTGCAAAGTAAGGATACTTGCAAAGGTTTCTGACAGTACGTGAAAACTCGAGAGTCATATTGATCTGGATGTGGATGCCTACATTTTGTCACTAGTACAAAAGTGCTTTCTTCTCAGGTTTGATTTCAATTTTTACATGGAATTCGAGTCCCAGAATCTACAAAATTGCCAAAGCCCTCGAGGA